CTCACCCACGCGCCTCCCGGCCCTGCGAGCTGGCCGCCTTCTCGCCTGCTGCGCTGGAAACGGAGCCTCCCAGGAGGATCACCGCTGCCCCTAAAAAAATAGGCTCGCGTCTTGGGCACCAGAGGAAGGAGACTGAGCGCGAAGCCAGAGACCCCACTTCTTCTATCGTCCTTTTGGGTCTCCCCAGCTCCCTGTCAGGTGGCGATTTCTGTGTCCTTTGCCTCTGTAGGAGCTGCTGGCCGGCCCTCTTTATCTGTCAATGGATAGAGAAATAGTCAATAAGTACTGGACGGGCCCCTGCGAAATACGATGCAGCTGGTCGGGTGGGGTCACACAGTCCACAGATTGTGAGGGAAAGATCTGTCACTGGATCGAGGACAGTAGGGGAGAGCAAAATGCTGCCCCAATCTGACAACAGGCCCATGGCTAGGAAATAAAGACTGGGTGAAATTACTCCAGAACACCCAGGGCTGTCATCTCTGGGTGGCAGAAGGTCAAACAACAGCAGTTCAGGCTGCTCAGAGCAAATGGGATCTGGTTTTCCAGTCTATCAGGACTGCCTGTACCTTTTCACTGCACGGAGACTTCAGCCATCCTCACAGTCAGGAATCTTTCTCTCTGCAAACAGCACTGGAGCACTTTCCAATCTATTCTGCTCCCGGCCGGACCACGCTGGGTGCCCTACAACAACATGAACCTAATTAAAAACCTAAGGAAGACCCGAACAATGAGACAAGAGATGTCAATAGTGGATGCGCAGCCGTTCTATTTCCTTAGTTCCGATGGCAAGTTATGGGCCAAAGGCTCTATTTGTAAGAATGACGAAGTAGCTGAGACCAGAGGGAAACTCAGTGGTAGTGCTTGCCCAGTAAGGTCCAAGGTTCCATCCCTACTGCTGTTTTAAAAATAAAGTAGCTGGGCTTGGTGGTGCATGTCTGTAATCCCCAGCCAGGAGGCTGAGGCAGGAGGATCACAGAGTTTGAGGCCAGCCTGGGCTACATAGTGAGTCAACCTGAAGTACAAAGGGAGACTGTCTCAAAAAAACCAGCTGAACAAACTTTCATTTTTATTTATTTATTTTTACTATATCTGTCTACAAGAAGATATAGATAGATGTATGAAAATGTGCTTGCCTGTAAAATTTGCATTTATAAATGTATTGCTCATGGGATCACTTGGGCCTGTACACATACCAATTAGCATGACCACTTCCATTTTAAAAACGAATCTAAAATTTTTATTGTATATATATTTTGTATTATATATACGGCTGTGGGTTGTAACAAACTATTGAAAATACTTGTGCAAATCTGTCTTGATATAAAGGAAAAGCAAAATATGTATAACATTAATACTTGAATGCCTCTGTGACTGATTTTATTTTCATTTAAAATATAAACTTTTTTGGTGAAAAGTATGCTCAATGTTTTTTCCCCTTCCCCATTCCCTTGTGAATACATTTTGTTCTATGTGACTTGGTTTGGAAATAGTTAACTGCTACTGTAATTTGCATTAAATAAAAAGTAGATTAGCCTGGAAATGAAACAAAACAACAAAAAGATCAGCCAAACAAAAAGAAGAAAGTAGCCAAGCATAGTTTTATACACCTATAATCCCAGCACTCTAAGAGGCTGAGGCAGGAGGATCACAAATTCCAGCCCAGCCTGGTGAATGTAGTGACAGCCTGTCTAAAAATGAAAAATAAAAAAAATAGTTTGGGGATATAGCTCAGTAAGAAGGCCCTGGGTTCAATCTCTAGTACTGAAAAGAAAAAAAAAAGTAGTTGAACAATGCTCAAAATACCTTCATTTGGAGCTGGGAATGTGTTAGATGCCTGTTATCCCAGCACTTGGGAGGCTGAGACAGGAGGATTGCCATGAGTTAGTTCAAGGCCACTTTAGGCTATGTTAGTATTTCAAGGCCATCCTGAACTACATAGTGAGACCTTGTCTCAACAGCCCCCTTCCCCCAAAAGAGATATCTTCATTTAATATAAAATGAATAATTAATAAATATTGTTTTATAATTTAATATCAACCTTTACTCTAAGATGTCTTAAATGCCTTATTTTCTACTTTTTAATTTAAAAAAAAATTTTTTTTTCAGTACGGAAGATAGAACTCAGGACCTCAGGACCTTGCACTTGTGAAGTAGGTGTGGCACCACTGAGCTAATCCCTGGCCTTCACCAAAAATTTTTTAAAGTACAGCTAAACAAATTAAAATACGCTGCTTTGAAAGAAAAAGCATCTGAAAAACAAACAGCATTTGCACTGAATGTCCACATTTCTGTTAAGGCACAGAGGGCTGAGGTGTCCCTGGTCTTGGCCTTGAGATCCCTGACTGGCTTCTCTGGACACCGGAAGCAGGAGCGCCAGGCCCCCCACGATCCTGGGATATGCAGAAGATGATCATTTCTCTTTCCTTTCTTTGTGCTCTTTCTTGGTCTTGTGTTTTTCTTTGTTCTTTTTATGTTTCTCTTTTTGAAGTGTCTCCTGTTTCTGATGAGCATCTGAAACACATGAACTGTAGGGAAAACAGATTATAAAAAATAAGCTTCTAAATTGCTGAGTTAGGAGTCTGACGTGGACGGAATGTCTCCCATTAAGGCAGAAATTCTGCCCTTTGATTTGCTTCGGCGTCAGTGTGGAACAGATCAGCACAGCACACCATCCTGCCGCCACAGCCAGGAAGGGGCCAGAAACCTCAGTGCAGGACCTGTGCAACCCAAGTAGGGTCCCGCCGTCCCTTACTGCCCGATGGACGACACAGTCGGAGATGAAGTCAGAGCCCAAAGCCCACGCGCCTGCGGTAACCTCAGCCTTAGGTGAGCTGGGCGCCAGACAAAAGCAGAGTCCTGGCTCCAGGCCCAGCCCTGTGGTTCTGGCGCATTGCCCAAGCTCTCCAAGTCTCTCTCCCCAGGGGTAACGAGAATCCCTACTCTCTTAGGGGCAAAGGGAGGATGAGCTAAGACCGGGCACCTGAGTCCCACAGCCCAGACTTTGGCACATAAATGTCAGCTCTTCATATATCGTCTTCTTTTTATAACAAATATTTTATAAGAATTTATCCTGTAGGTGGAAATACTAAAATGCAAGCATCAAAGCAACACAAAGGGGCCGGGATTAGCTCAGTGGTTCCAACGCTTGCTTCACAAGCGCAAGGACCGGAGTTTGATCCCTGGTACGAAAAACAAAAACAAAAAAAGAAAAAAAAAAAACCAGCATAATGTATGCAACAATAATAACTAAAGGGTGACGGGCATGGTGGTGCACACCTATAATCCCAGCACAGCCTGGGCTACATAGTGAGTTTCAGGTCAGTCTCAACTAAACAGTGAGACCCTGTCTTAACCCCACTCCCCCAAAACAAACAAACAACAAACCAAAGAATCTGGGGATAGTGGCACACTCCTATAATCCTAGCTACTCAGGAGGCTGAGGCAGGAGGATCATGAGTCTGAGGCCAGCCCAGGGAAGTTAGCAAGACTCTGCCTCTAAATTAAAAACAAACAAATAAATAAAATAAGGCTGGGGGTGAATTTCAGAGCAATCTCTGGATTCAATCACTCCCCCCTCCCCCCAAAAAAAGAAAAAGAAAAAGCTAAACAAGTTGCATAGGCCTATGGTAGAATCACCACCTCCATTCAGACCAAAATGTTTTCATAAATTGCTAATTTGCAGGTGATAAACAAACAAAAATCATGATAGTAGCAGTAGTACAAATCATTAAATATACTTTTGTTCTCCTAAAGAGAAGTTTCAAAATGTCTCAGGAGTGTGTCTGTTTTCCAAACCCAATTAACAAATGTCTCTATTTTTCTAGTCTTAAAGTTCTCAGTTATTTTAGAATTTGACCTCCCTTGATTTTTTTTCATGCTAGTTTTTGAAAACCATGTCCCCTAACTAACCCATACACCACATTATTATAAATCATTGTAGATATACCAAGGACATTCTGGAAAAGAATGGAAGAATAATAATGAAGGAATAATTATCTCACAAAATAGGTTCAAGGGCTGACACCAATTTTAAATTAAAGATATAAACAACTAAAGCAAAAGAGAAATACATTCCCTGCAGTTTTCCCAAACTTCATACTTTTCATACTTTCTAGCATCTCTCTGAAAGCAGGGCTAATTAACCAAATGTGGGTAATGTAGGAAAATATAAAGTGGATGTTGGAATTATATCCTATTCATATATTTGGGTCACATTATCAGATATTTGTTATGCAGCCTTCAAAGAGATGATAAAAACCAGTCTAAACATCTTATCAGGAGATGTCATTATAAAGTGGCACTGTGCAGGAGTTGCTCACAGATAGTGCAAGAGGATAACAGTATTTTCTTCTGAAAGAACTAGTTTTATTTTATTTGCTTCATTACCCAAAGTATAAGGAGAACTCTTAAAATATTCTTCTCCCTGCAGTTCCCCTCCCATCTTTATAAAAGTTTTACTTTTTAAAAATTTCTATAAATGATGAAACATAAGATGCTTAGGGTTCTACAATAAACATCTGAAAATGAGAAAGGGAAAAATTTAAAGGTCTCTGGCCCTTGTGAGCAACAGCTAGTGACCAGGCACTAGGTGGGGACAGTGGCTTTCGAAATGTGACCCAAAACAAAGAAACCAGAAGTGAGTAGGGTGGTGGGCCTGGAGCCCGATCGGAGAGCGGGGCGGGTGTGACAACGTGGTAGTGTCACACTGTCACACCTCCGGGAGACACGCGCTGACGCTGGCAGGAGAACCAAGGAGCTCGGGACTCACTGGGGCAGAAGGCGGAGGCGGCAGCACCGGACTCTTCCGTTCATCCCGCTGCCTGTTCTGTGTCGGGAAGGGAGGTACCGGGCGGCTCACTAGCTGAAAACACCAGAGCAGGACTTCCGCTCA